CAGCTTGGACGTAATAGGTGAAAAAAAGTACAGAGCTTCAAGCAGCTTTTTTTGTCGAATACATTTTGGTATAGACCAACAAAGAACCGAGACGACCAAGAGGCACAGCACTAGCTAGAGAATTTTGTTATTGTTGCAACTCGCACCAGTTACGAAAATCTGAACGATCCGCGTATTTAGACTGGTCCAGGCAAAAATATGGATGGAAATCAGGCTGGAAAGCATCACAAGTTGTCACAGGCACTTATTTAGCCAGTCTGCCTGTGAACGTCGATTTCGTCACTATTCTTGCCCTGGACTAGCACCGTAATCACAAAGTCACTAAACGCTTGTGCTTGATCGAGAGACAGTGCATTCGGTGCAGAACGTAGTTTTCTTCCTGCTCTGGACAGTGACAATAAATTTGAGGGATGTATTTTCGCCCACAAAATTGTATTTAATTACAATTGTATTTGAAATACCCACGTTTTAGTATATAAATACACACGTCAAATACATTACCCAATTTGTAATTAAATACTAATGCAAAATACACAAGGTATTTGAAATACGTCTTTCAAATACTGCCCATCTCTCTCTCTCTCTCTCTCTCTCTCTCTCTATATATATATATATATATATATACTTCTCCCTCAAATTATCTTCCACGATATATCACAGAACCAGCCTACCTCAAGAGCTGCGCTCTAATTTCGCATTACAGAGAAGCGTAAACGTTGTGTGTCTTACCTTTCACGGAGCTTGCTCGGTTAGGAACCGAACATTTTATCTAAACCTTCTTTACGCGGCCTCCTCGCGCTAACTAACGAACCCCAGCATTAACCACGGTTGTAACCGGCCCCCTTCGACACGCGTGAAACACGGTGGTACTTTCGGTAGCTGTTCGAGTCTATTCTCCGAACTAAATAAATCGCCTCATTGCAGTAAGAGGCCCTTGCGTACTGTTGCGTGGGGTTCCTCCTGTTTCATAGACCGGAATAAGCTAAGAGACTTACAGAGGGTTAGGCCTTCACAACAAAGGCGCAAGAAGAAAAGAAAAAAAAAATGGATCGAAGAAGGAAAGGACTCTCTCCAAAGACGCTAGTGTAGTGCAAGTATAAGGAACTATGTTGCTCGCGCTCTTCCTCCGTGAAGTTCGATAAATCGATGGCTGGGAGCCAGGCCCGCTTCCGATCGTCCTATCTGCTTTTGGGCCTCGGCTTTCTCGACAGACAGAACCGCGGGAGCTTCGAGTCCCGTCCCGGTGACCTCCCGCTTAAAAGTTACCGGCGCGAAGGGCAAACTCAACTCACAATATATTTATTTATTTTTTCTTGTTTTTTTTTATGCGAAAGCATTAACTATCCCATGAAGGGGAACCGGCAAACGTTAGTGGAGTGAGTTCAGTTTCACAGCTCCGCCTGCGACGTGGGCTCAGTGGCGGTCACGAGAACTAGCAGCGCTGCAGTCGAGTCTTGCTTCCGGATTGTCTAGCCCGCCAAGTTTGAATAGCAATACTTGAGTTTGGGCGAGTTGTTGATTCATACTAACATTTCACAGGGCAAGAAAACAGACGCACATAAAAATAAATTTCAAACACCCAAAGAAAGAACACTCACAATGCGCTCACTCTAATCTCTGTGGTGTATTACACTTCATCTTCATCATCTTTTTTTTTTGGTATTATACACATGGAAGTAAGAAAAAAAAAAAAGGAAGAAAAGAAAAAGGAAAGGGAGCTCTCAACGCAGCGGTAGGAGACAACGCGCGAGACTGGGAAGCAAGATCCGACAGCAGCGCCGCTAGTTCTCGTGACCGCCACCTGGGCCACTCGCCTCTGCAGGCGAGAATAGGGAGCTGCGAAACTGATCTTGCTCCACTAACGTTGGTGCCAGCAGCGTCTGTAAACGCAGAAAAAAAAAGAAACAAGTGAAAGAAATGCGCATTTTCCCATTGGCTGAGGAGAACGGCTGCGAGATGGCCATTGGCGCGGCTTCACGAAAGCGCGCGCTCGGCAACCTCGGCTATAGCCTCCTATATACCGACAAGGCCTGGCAAAATCGCCACGAGAAGCAGCCGCCGAAACGGAAAAGGTGGAGCGGCAGACAACGACTGAGTTTACGCTTGAGAGGATAGCCACGTGGCTGGCGCTCCGCTACGGCGAGACGCCGAAACACACTTCTCCCGAGCGAACAAGTGTGTTTCGGGTCCTCGCCGCTGCAAGAACTGTGCGCTGACGTCCAGGTTTCCCGAGAAATGTCTCTTTGATGCTCTGTGCTACCAGATCCTCGCGCTCCAGATCTGCGACAGGGCACTCCGTGGCTCCGTCGTCGAACTGCCAGGCCTTGTGAGTATCGAGCAGGCTATGCCTCGGTAGTAGCGAAACGTGGCCGTCCACGCCAGTGCACCGCAGACAAACTAAGGGAGCGGAAGAACGACATTCATGCTTTCGCATTCACAACTCATAAGCGCTTAAGTGTCCTTGGAATTTTTTTCTTTCCAACAGGAGAAGATTGGTGTTTACCCTGTGAGAAGACGACGTAACTGCTTTAATGCATGTGCGAAAGACGCTGCTCAGAAGTTCGTCGCTTTGTCGCTTGCTAGCTTTGGTTCGTAAAGCAAGGACGAGAGAGATAGACAGACGTACAGAGGGGAGGCCTTGCGTCACCTATACTCCTTTAACCTTTAAGCTTTGGGAACCAGTCCAATGCAATGGGAGTGCCACATGATATTCGGGAGGAACGTAGCGGGGTGCGTAGCTACGTGATACATTCACAGTGCTCGATTGGCTTCGGTGGCCAGTTAGCGTCCTCTGCCATCCATTGCATTGTGAAACGTAGTACAGCTAGTTGCGCAACGTTAGGTCCCCTCTATACTGAAAACTGAAAAGTAGTGAAAGTAGTTCTACGAGCCTATTTGCACGCGCTTTATCCGGTAAGGTTGAAGGCGGCAAATATACTCTGCGTTCTTTATACGTGCTGACACTTTCTTTGCGCGATGCACAACGAATATCTTTCACTGGCCTGTATGCGAGCCAACGCTCCCATGTTTGCTCCCTCCGAAAGCACGGAGGTTATACGCACATCGTCCGCTAGTTCTGCTTTTCGGTGGCCCCACGTAGGGTGCGCGCTCGTCGAAAGCAGGAGTGGAAGAAGGAAACGTGAAGAGCGAGGAGGGTCTGTTGTCACTAACTCATCACATAAAAAGGGGATGTAACTGAGATTGCTTAATTTCTTACAGTTCAACATATATAAAAACAAAAGAAAAAAAAGTTGTAAAACTCGTCGCTCAAAAAAAAAAAAAAAATTACCTACTGCAGAATAATTGGTAGACCGAGCATCCGTGAAATGCGCTCCGTTTCCTAAATTGCCCGATTTGCCTGTGGGGCAATAATTGAGGCAGCCTGACCTGCTCCTGCAGCAGCCCTGTTTGCGAAACGCGTTGACTCGCCAAATAGAATGTTCTTAAACGTGTACCCAGAGATTCGTTTACGGGATGTCGTCAGGCTCGAGCCCAGTGAGATTGCGACAGCCAGCACCGGTATCGAACTGACGGCTCCCTGGGGCCCATTTGCCGACGTGCTAATCACTGCTGCTTCGAGACGCGCCTAGTAACCGCGCCTCGTTAATCCTCTCAGTTTACAGGACAGGAAGGACACGCACACACAAAAAGAAAATAACTATTGTTGTTTCTTTCTGGCTTTAGAAGTTGCACCAGATATTGTCACTGATATATAGATGAGATCGTCGGGGGAAAAATAAATAAAATAAAGCCTGAAATATATACCTCTATAATAATTGCCCGCCACCTGGTGGCTGGTCCGCCAAAAAGACCAGTTACAAGGACTGCAGCGCACTCCGCGGCACTGAAAAGAATTCTGGGAACTGACTGTAGAGAACCGGCTGTAGCAGACGACCGAAGCGACGCCGGAGAGAGCACGCGAGCAATTGCTCGCAATTGCAACGGTCGCGCTACTACCCCTCCCCCCACTCCTTATCTTTCTTTCTCTCTCTATATATATACAAATATTTGGTGCAAGTGATAGATAGGAGAATACAGAACTTTCCCATACTTCATTTCGCGCTTTGCGAGCTGCTGCGTTTTCGGATTCTTGCAGTTTGTCTTTTGCGCGATGCCACAATATGTTGAACATGCGCTCAGAGCACGTATTGAATATGAGGGCTGTATCGGCCTTTGGTTTGATTTCGATCCTAATCCTTGGGTGTTTGTTAACTCGGCTTGACACTTTGGTTCAGTCACAAGCATAGCACTGGAAGCGATGCCCAAAACATAATCAGTGTTGCTTGATTTTTTTAAGGGTTTATTTTTAAGAACATTTAGTCGTAGAAAGTCAGCCCTGGCCAAGCCAAGAAGTGTTGCTGAAACATTGTCAGAGTCCATGAAATCTATGACGAAATGTTACTTCTTGCGCAAACTTTCTTTATCACGTGTATTCGCACGAAACAGATAAGACTTTTTCAGTGTGCGAATCATTACATTGTAACAGATTTTTTTAAAATATTTTTTTGGCATAGCTAAAAGCCTTAAGCAGTACTGTGGAACATGGATCGCTGTTTCTCTGTGTCGGATAGTGCAAAAATATAATCCTGCCGAATTTCGATTTAATTCTGATTCTAATAGAATTTGTAAATGTCAAGCAGCATTTTACATGAAAACAAACAAACATGTTCTTTGCGTTCTGACCGCTTCGTAGATAACAGGACTCCCTGGAAAGTCGTTTTAAAAACACATTGTCGTCACGAGTGATGCATGGTGTTCATTACGCCGTGTGTAGTTTACATCAAATCGCTCTACCGCTATCTCTATACGCTGCCATGGCTATGGGCACCGGTCCGTCGCGCATGGGCTCGGAGCTGTGGGTTACTTAACGTCGCGTTAAAAGAGCGTTTGTCGTATAACGACGCGGATGATGAAACCGGCTCGTTCCGCTACGCACAAAGACCTGCAATCTATCGTCGTATATTTATGCTCTTGTTTCTATTTTTATTTTATCTACGCAGAGTTCTCGGCTTTGCTGACTGGCCGCGGCGTGTACCCCGCGGTCCGCACAACGGTTGTGGCGTCGGGTTACCTTACGTACATCAAGAAAGACCTCCACATCGGCATCTACCACAACAGGTGAGCGCTCGTTCGTGGGTGTCTGCTCCCTTGTCGTTCTAAAGAGGCCTCCCTCAAATCACACCGTCAATTCGTTTTGTTTGAGGTGGGCGAAACATTACCACATGATTTTGAGTTAAATTGGTGATGCAACAAGTTTTGTGCTTTGCGCTAATACCGCTTAGAACGAAACCCTGACGTTTACAACCAATGGAACGCGCTTTCGTTGTTCTCCCCACGCAATTAACGTCGCAGAAAAAAAATTAAAGAAAAACGAGCAGCGTTCGCCTGCTCGTTTTTGCAGCCAGAGCAAGCGGCCACGTGACCTGGAGCCGATTATATGCCGCCAATGTTTATCATAGCCACGCGCTGAGGTTGGCAAAGCACAGGACACGCGCTGGGTCCAGTCATTATTAGAGTTCGGCTATTACCGTCATTGCGGCGACTGGACACGAGCCACTACCCGAATTCTTCTCGAGCAATCGATTGTCACGAGCCCAAATATAGAGTGCTCAGGCAATGCTCGGGATCAATCGTTCAATCTATGAGCCGCATTCAAATGTCGTCACTGGGGGACTATGCCGACACTGCGACCCCCACTCGACGTCATCAAGTGTTGGGATGGAGAGACTGAAAGAAATCACCTGCTTTTATTCTTGAAATTACACCGTAACAGGTTTCTTGGTTGCGTGCGAGTACACTTGGGTCCCACTAGTAACAGTAAACTCGTGTAAAGTGAACATCCCAATTGAATATCGTTGTACCGCCCTTTCGTTGTAATCGCGTGCTCGTCTCGCTGTAAAACACACACGCACAAACACACTCTCTCTCTCTCGCACACACACACACGCACACACACACGCACACATCTTATATGTGTGGTATATATTACTATTTATACGAATTCGAATAAAGAAAAGAAAAATATTCGGAGAGTGTTGCTACGAAGTCGGCACTCCAGCTCTAATGAACGGTCCACGCTCTAAGGAATCTGTAGCGTCTGCTTTCCCACGAAGCATTTGGGAGAGGTAATCGGTGCAATCCACAGAGGGAACTCGGCGATTAACAAAGTTTAACACGCTAAGTCTGTTTCTTTTTCCCCAACAAATATTAAAGAAAAAAACAAAAAAAAACAGGAAACATGAGTGATAAGTTAAGTTAGTGATAGATGCACAAGTCAGCTACTTGTTTACATACGCATCGTATAGATTAAGGCAATCCAATCCTTTCGGCTACGCCGTGACGTTCGGGCTTTCGCTCCAATCAGTTTTGCACGTGTTGGGGAAAACAATATGGTCAAGTAACAATTAAATTAATTGTGCTCCGATATTTTGTTTACAACGTTATTAAGAACCTTTCTGTGAAGTAGGGTATGTACCCACGGTGTATACACGTATGCAGAAGTAAACTTTGCTTGAAATGTGGCATTTCTGATTGGCCGAAGCTTCTTGATAAAACACACACAAAAAAGAATACACGCTAAACATAACAGCAAAAAAAAAATGTATATCTAGCAAAGTTTGGGTGTTTTAAGGTTCCTAAATTTCTTGATTTTGTGGCACTTGCCAGGTACCGGTTTTGAAATCAGATGCCGTATCACTTTCCCTAACACTCACCGCTTCCCAACTGCAGCGCGGTGGCGTCGTGTATACAAGCCTCCGTAATACCTCGTGGACAAGTTCCTTGTTTCTGTCTGTATGTTCTGTATCGGGGCAGCTTATGCAAGCACTCGGTGAATTCCGACCCAGGTATTTTTCTGAACACGGCGGACGCCTCGGTTGCTAGGGTCATCTGTGCAAACTCAAGTATCGGAGAGGGGACTTCCTCCTTCCCATCTTCTTTAACTAGTTTCTTTATTGTGAGTCTAGAAACATTCCGAGTTTCATAGAATTTACATGATCCGAACTGTTGATCATCCGGATTATCAAGAGGTAAATTATAATTGGTAACTTACGAGTGAAGTCGAAAACTTTATCACCGGCGCTATCACCATCACCCCGCAACAGCCGCGCCCAGTCGCCAATGCCTAACGCCGGTCCTTTTGAGAGGTGTACGTCCTTGGCTGTACCCCGTCTTACGTTAACTTGGCTAACGCGAGGGCTAGGTCCCAGGGGTCCAATCAGCACGTGACTGTACTCTATCTCAGTCACCAGTTTCATGCGGTGCTGTCGAAGCCACTGGCAGGAGAGCAAGGAAAGCCGCTTTTGTACAAATTTTGAGTTACAGGCTGATCCAGAGAGGGGCAAGGGCGACTGAGACACACTAAAAAGGGTTAGAGGGGACTTCCTCCTTCCCCTCTTCTTCAACTGCTTGGTTTACTCTCTCGCCCTTCTGTCTTTTGTAAAGACTGTCACGTGCCTCGCGTCCTTCGCTTTTGATTAGGGAGTTCGTAGATGGTTTTCGCCGTCCCGCAACGCTTTCCGCAACCCGCTACGATACCCGGAACCCTGCAGTCAAGGCCATCGGCGCGCAGGCGCAGTAGCGGCTTCTTCGTTGCGAAGGGCTTAGCGGAGGGGGAAACGCGGTCTACGGAAACTCCTCGCAAAGCTACGGTGACAGGTGACACGAACTGTAACCGTAGCTTTCAGGAGGACGCTTAAAGGGACCATAAAGGCAATTTAATTTGTTTTTTAAAGGTGGTGTTTTGGACACATTGGTGTCCTGGCATGCCTTTGTTTCTTTTTTTCTAAACTTTTATTTGAACTTCTTTTTTTTTTTTTTTTCAGAACTTTGTGATTTTTAGTTTTGTGCCTGGAAATAAATTTGCGAAACCGAAACAGACATTCAGATTTTTTTTCTTTTTTGCCTTTGAACAGGGAAGTGACGTCGAGGAGCACTGTCGGTATCGGTAGGATTTAGTGGCCGCTCGGTGCGGTTCCCGTGGCGGGTTATAGGAGTGTACGACGGTCTGTGAAGGAAACCTGGAAGAAATGGACGACGACGCCGCGCTTGTAGACGAGTTTGAGCTCCCGTTCAGCGACCTCACGCCGACTGAACGGGACGTGCTGCTCAAGACGCGGAACTCTGGATTTACGCTTTACGAGGGCGCCCCAGACTGCCACCGACTCCTGGGTCGCCGCCTCAGAGCTACTCTCCGGCCTACTCGCCGCCGCAACGCCGTTACGGGAACACAATGCGCAGTCTACAGCACATAAACGCGGCATGATTGAAGAGACGCCAGTTTGCAAAGCGAAATAAGAGTCAAAACGCGGGCGAGCTAGTGAACAATCATAATTAAGAAATAAGCCTTGAGACAAGGAAACAAAAATCTTTCAACCTTTCCACTCCGGTGAAGGAGGAAGAACAGCGGAGCTGTACTATGTGCCGCCATCTATAAGCGACGGCGGCAACCAGACAATCAGCAAGCCGGTTGTCTGGTTGCCGCAGTTGCTTATAGGTGGCGGTAGCTGTCCAGAGGGTTGTGTGAAGATTTATCTGTCCACAGACACGGAACTGGGGAAACTAGCCCTTAACAGCTCCGCAGTAAAAACGGACATACACACCACGGTCTCATAACCAGCATCGCATACAGCTGTCATTTTTTTTTTATTAGAACAGAAAGATAGAGAGAACAGAGAGTTAAGCCAAGGAGTACCCTCGACTGGCTACTCTGTTAGGGAATGGGGAAAATGATAAAAGGCTGTCAGAAGAGGAGGGAAAAGAGAGGGAGAAGTGGGACACACACTTCGGCGTAAACGCCCACACACATTTCAACTGGCGACGTCCCTTTGTTCGGGCAGTCAGAACACTTTCATCGTCACAGAGTCACACTCACATTCATGGTCATCAGTCACAGTCACAAATATATTCATAGTCACTAATATTCATAGAGCAGCCACTGTCACAGTTATCGTTAGGATAAAAATTATAACCAGGTTTTATCGCAAAAGTCTCTCTACCAGGCCTGTATTTTCAAGAAATGCTTAAATGCTCTTCAAGGCCTTGCGATGGAAAAATGGCGACGGCTAGTGGCCTAAAATTGATAATATGCTCATGTCGTTAGTAGGGTGACTTGGCATAAAATTCTGGAGCTCCGCACGTTCAGTGTTGTAGAGTGGACAGTCGGTAATGATATGTTCAATAGTTTCTGGTATATTACATGCACTGCAGTTAGGGCTGCATATAAATCCCAATTTGTATTTGTGCTGCTTTGTGTAGGTTACGTTGAGTCTTAGCCGATGAAGAAGGGTGTCTAGATCTCTTGGGAGGCCTTTTGGCAGAAAGTTCTGTAAAAGCGGGTTAATGCGATGAGCGAAGGTGTGGTAATATGTAGATGTCCAGGTCTCAAGTAATTTTGTTTTCCTAATGTTCTAATTAGTTGACGGCAGTCCGCCTTTGTGAACGGTACGTCTTCACAAAGTTCTACGTTATGCCCGCAGCCAGCCGCAGCGTCAGCAGCGTAATTTCCGGGAAGACCACAGTGACCTGGCACCCACTGAAAAACAATGTGTTGTCCATTGTTTGCAGCTGTGGCGTGAATAAATAGAAGTTCAGAAACGAGCGCCGGATTAGTTGATTTGCTAAGGTTTTTTTTTAAGCATTGTAGTGCTGCTTGTGAGTCTGAAAACATGACCCATTTTCGTCGTAGACTGCAGTCCAGAATGTGCTGTAGTGCTTTTTTAATGCCATCGAGTTCAGCTGCAGTGGATGATACACTTGTTGAGAGTTTGAAGGACTGAACTAGTTCTATAGAAGGGATAAACAATCCTGAGGACGAGGAGCTTTCACTTGCTGATCCATCGGTAAATATATGCATAAAATCCGGGTATCTCGTATGTATATGTTACCATCTGTATTGTGGCAGAACAATTTTGGACTGTGAGGGTTTGTTCTCAACCCCGCTTATGTGTAAAGACACAATGGGTGGAGGCAAGATCCAAAGTGGAGAATGTGGAGCTTCGGAGAAGACAGCAAATTGTGTGATATCATGCTGTGTGCGATGAAATCTCCGCGTTCGGGCGCCTCAAATGTGCATTCGTGAGGTGATGTTGACGATGCTGAGTTTTATATCTGAGATACAT